CGCGCCTCGGGGCGCATGGCGGTAAGGGAAAGGAGCAGTTGCAGCGGAAGGATTGTGGTGAGGCCCACAGGCCTGGAGCTTACTGCTCTGATCACCATGTGAAAGTAAGTAGGTAACGATAGTAGCCATAGCTAGGACTAACCTAGCTAGGCAAGAAGTAGTTAGGCAAAAGAGGGTTACCTAGCAAGCAATGAGATACAAATATGAAACCCTAAGGGGTTATACTCGCTATAGAGTACCCCACTGCAGGCTAGATAACAAATATAACATTCTGACACCCGGTCCCAGCGCTCCCGCCACCACTTCTAGCATTCGGCGCACCGGCTCCCTGCAGTCGGTCGAGAAGTCTGGGTTTTCCAAGATGTACGAGTACTCCCCGTGCTGCTGGTATACCAGCTTCATGATACGCAGTAACTCCGCGAAGAGCGTGGACCGGGGGTCATCCAATTCCTTGCCCTTCCCGGCCCTCGACTCTCCCTGGCACTCCCAACCCGCCACCAGCAGATCCACCCGTCCCCACCGTCGCACGTCCTCTGCCGCCACCTCCCTAATATCGTAGATCAATTCTTCTTCCGCCTCTGCCTCTACACCCAACATCAGCTGAGCCGGGTAAATCCCTCTTAGCTTCCTTGCGTGGTTGAAGGCCATTCTGCGCACCACAGGATCTATTTCTACTAGTATCCACTTCTTCACTCTGCATCTTGCCTTTAGTGCTGCAGCCAGCCCCGTTCCGATCCCTCCGAATAGCTCGACGATGGTGATCGGTTCCTGCAGGCGCGTCAGATCTGTCAGCCTCGGGGGCAGCGCCAAGGGCCGCTCGGCCCTTTCTTCTTCCGCTTTGCGTGTCTCCTGCTCCAGCACGTATTGCTTCCTGGACCAATCTTCAATATGCTCTTCCACTTGCGCCATGCGCGCTCGAAAGGCTTCCCTCGGCTCACGTCTGACGAAGTGTACTGGCAGTGTGCCCACGGGCCCATCATTCCTCCAGTACTGAGTCCGGTAGAGGACTTTCTCCTGCCAGGTGCAGATGGTGGCTCCCACACGATACAACAGCTCCATGCCTATCAGCAAATCAAAATCCTCTGACGGCGATATGCCGCACCGCATCTGGATTCGGCATTCGTCCTTGGTGCCAGGCTGCAGGATCACTTCCACTGGCATGCGGGTGCAGGGCATCCACTTCGGCTCACCTCCCTCCGCAGTCATCACCAGGATTCCCCGTGTAATGAGCCGGTTCGGCAGGTCTAGTTCCAGCCTCTGAGCCAGGCCTTTCCCTAGGAGGATATGATGCGCCCCTGTGTCGATGATCGCTTGCGCCACCGTCACCCCTCCTACCGTGATTTCCCCCTTTTCGATTGTCAGCACCGATGGGTGACACACCATGCGCTCCTTGGGATGTCTTTCTGATGTCATTTCTTGCTCCGGTTCTGACGCGTACCCACGAAACCGCCTGACCCTCGGGGCCGGCAGCTCTCTCCTTTCCCCTTGATCACTTCTGAGCTCTATCTCCTCTTGCTGCCGTGGTGCCCGCACCACGAGCACAAATTCTGCTTCGCTACTCCCCTCCTCCTCCTCTTTTGCCAGCATGGCGGACTCCTTGCGAGCCGAACCTTCCAGCTCCCTGATCCGTGCCTGCAGCACCAGAAGCTGCGCCTCCAAGTCCTTCTCGTTTCTTGGTCCCGCCGATCCTGGTCTCCGGCTGTAGCAATCAGATGTCCGATGCCCTCGCCTGCCGCAGTTCTCGCAGGTGGGGATTTCTGGACATTCCCGTCGCATATGCCCTTCCTTCTGGCAGTGATCGCACCTTGGCGGCCTGCTGCAATCCCGCTGCAGATGCCCCTCCTGCCCGCACCGATGGCACCTGCGCGTCTCCGCCTCCCGTGCGGCACGCCTGCTGGAGGCTTCTCCGGCTGCCACGGCCGCCCAGGCAGACCCACGTCGTCCTTCGGCCTGCATGCCGCCTCTCTCCATCTCGTAGAGGCGGAGCCCCAGCTCGTGTTTCTTCGCCAGCTCGTACGCGTACTCCAGCGTCGCCGATGGTCCCATCTCGAACACCCTTCCTCGTACGTCCCCGGCCACCCGCTCGTCCAGGCAGTTGAGAAATTTGGAGACCAGCCTCCACTCATCCCTGCATTCCATGTCCGCCGCAAGCTCGCGCAGTCTGCCGTACGTTGCTAGCAGAGACTCTCCTGTCTTCCTTTTGAACGACGCGAACTCCCTCATACGCTCCGGCGTCTGCACTGGGAAGTGGCGCTTCAGCGTGTCGAAGAACTGCGCCACCACGTCCGAGGTCACTCCGCTGGCTTGTGCTGGCTCACTTAGCATGCGTTCCAGCTCCACGCCATACGCGGTCTCCGCTTCTCCTGTCACCGTGTTCGAGAGTCCCCGGAAGAAGTCTTCTGGCTCCAGCCCGTCCTTCATCCAGCGATACTGCGCGTTGCGGATCTGCATCATGTAATTCTTTAGACTGCTGCCCACGCCTGGCGTGCCCGCGAAGCGCTCGGGAACCTCGATCTTGGGTAGCGCGGCGTACCTCACGTTGCCCGCGCGCGTTACCTCCGTCACTTGATGCTCTGATAAGGAGAGACGCCTCAAGCGCCCGAGCAGCTCGCCGTCGGTACAGCTCTCACCTTGCGTATCTCCCGCGCGCGACTGTGACCCTCCCGTGGTGGCTTCTACCAGCGGTCTCCCCGTCGAGCTCGCTCTCGCGTCCCGGCCTTCGCTCGGCAGGTCACCCATGTTGTGCCTCCGATGCGGTGCCGTGTAGGCTTCTCTGTGGGCGCCGTCTTCCATCTCGCCCGCTTGCGTCCCTCCACCGCTCCCCGTGACTTCTCCTGCACGCCATCCTGGCGTCGCCATCGCGCCAACACCGGCGGCCGTTCGTCACGCTTCCCAGACCGTGTCTGCATGCGCTGTCTAAGGCGCTTCACTCCGGAGATTTCCTTCGTTGAATGTCAGAAAACCTCCTTCCCACTACTGGCTGACAAGCTGGTTCCCTAGCGTGCTCATGACTGCCTGCGACTGGGTTAACAGGATTACATTTGAGCAAAATGGGAAACATTCAACGAAGCAGCCAACACTAGGGTTTCAGCTCTTCTATGTACAAGACGACCCTACCGCCCTAGCCTAGCGCTTCTAGCATGCACACATCACATGGGCGAGGCTCGGGGTGCCGAGGCGTATTTACAAACCGCAGGCGCTCTGTATCTGCATGGGCTCCAGCGGAAACCCTCCGCCAGCTGCAAGCATGGCTTGCATGTTTAACTGCAGCTTCTGCCACCTGTCGGTTGTGCTGCACTTATCCGCGTCAACAGCTCTCGCCCTGCACACGATTGCCACACAAACGAAACATACACCCACCCCAACTCGTACTCCCACCATTCTTATGCAAACACTCTTGAGCGCTATTTACAATTATGTACACCCTTCCTTCTTCCCTCCGCCCTTCGTGACTCCGCCTCTGCTACGTCCTGCCTCTCTCCCTGCTGCCAACTCTTGACGCTGTCTCGGTTACTATGTGGCCCTCCTGGCTACGTAAAACCGCGACAGAAGATCTGCACTGTGGATGCCTGATTGATCCTACGGGGGGTTACAGGCGCGTTTGCTTGGGGGGTTATGGGCGCACTCTGACCCGCTACTTAACAAGCCCTTCTATCCCAATGGTCTAGTGACTGGGACTCTGACATGGTGTCAGAGTGGTCTCGGGTTCAAATCCCGGTGTATGCACATGTAGGCCGTTGCCGCTGTGCTCAGTCCTTGGCCTCCCAGTGTGGGGGGGTGTCAGAAGATCTGCACTGTGGATGCCCGATTGATCCTACGGGGGGTTACAGGCGCGTTTGCCTGGGGGGTTATGGGCGCACTCTGACCCGCTACTTAACAAGCCCTTTTATCCCAATGGTCTAGTGGTTGGGATTCTGACACGCGTCCCCATTCAGCGCGTACACCACTGTAGCACCATAGTCAGCACCGTTACCACTCGCAACCCTCGCATCGACAATCCTCCCGCCACCTTCGCACGTCGTACCCCGACCTCACGGCTCGGCGGGTAATCCGCGCTTCGGACCTCCGCTTCGACATTTCCCCAAACCTCAGTCCCAGGCCCGTCGCGCGACAACCACTGTCCATTACCGTTACCATGGTAGTTTCGCTATATATTCTTCGCTCATGTCTTCGCTCATTGTACTCTTGCTTCGATAGTGCAATTCTCGCTCGATCACTCCATTGCACTCGTAACAAGCAGTATAGAACACTTCCGCGTTAATATCGAAAGCGTCTGACACCATGGACTGGCCTCGAGATTCCCGCGCTCTTTCAAAGTGCAACGCGCTACGAGCTCCCGCTGCCCCACTGACAATCCCTGGGTTGACTGTCTCTCGCGGGCTGCTGCTATCCATCCCATCTCATCCCAACCCATTGCATCCGATCGCATCCCATCCCATCCCATCTTATCTCATCCCAGTAAATGTTTCGAGGAACTTGATCCGAGCAAGCCTCCAGTGCCTCACCTCCCACTCATCGCACTCTTCAGGCCTCGAGTCTGCATTCTCCAACTTCATCAGTGGCAATGCAAGTCACACGCATTGAGAGCGTAGGGAAGCAAACAGCAGGCAGACAGGCAGACAGGCAGGCAAACAGGTAGAAGCTGAAGTAGGAAGCTCAGGCACTGGTTACCGACCCTGTGTGACCTGGCTGTCTGGTTTTGAAAAGCAGCCTGTGAGGACGCTCGATTCAATTTCGTTCAGGTTCTCGGAGTTCAGCGACGACCTATTAGGAGAAAGGTTGTTGTTAAAAAGGAGCGGACCGATTGACTAGAAGGCTGCGCAGTGAACGTGAGATTATATTATCGACCATTCGTTGCAGTTTTATCAGGAAAGGAGTTCGTGTCGCATCTCAACAGATCGTGTCTAAAAGGCTCAATTCGATTCGTCCCTTTCCCTATTACACTTACGCTTACTAACCACAAGTCTTGGTCCCTCATTTCCTCTCCGAAGCTCGGCAAGATGTACATCGAGGAGATCGCGATCGAGGGATTCAAGTCGTACGCGCAGAGGACGGTGGTGCGCGACTTCGACTCCAAGTTCAACGCCATCACGGGGCTCAACGGGTCCGGCAAGTCCAACATCCTCGACTCCATCTGCTTCGTGCTCGGAATCACCAACCTGCAGCACGTGCGCGCCAGCAACCTGCAGGAGCTGATTTATAAGCAGGGACAAGCAGGTGTCACGCGTGCGACCGTCTCCATCGTGTTTAATAATCATGACAAGGCCGGGAGTCCCGTGGGGTACGAGGACCATGACCGCATCACCGTCACCAGACAGGTGAGGAAAATGTCGGAATACGCTGGTTATGGTTCGCATTTCATCCGCTAACATTCGTCTCCTTTCATTGGTGCTGTCTTCTCGCCTGTGAAAAAAAAACGTAACTCACGACGCTCGGTTTTTTCTTATCTGGCTTTTCCGCTGCCGTTCAGATCGTGATCGGCGGGCGCAACAAGTATCTGATCAACGGCCACGTGAAGCAGCCGAGCGCCGTGCAGACGCTCTTCCACTCCGTGCAGCTCAACGTGAACAACCCGCACTTCCTCATCATGCAAGGCCGCATCACTAAGGTGCTCAACATGAAACCTCCGGAGATCCTCTCCATGCTCGAAGAGGCCGCCGGCACGCGCATGTACGAGAACAAGAAGGAGAGCGCGTTGAAGACGCTGGAGAAGAAGCAGACGAAGGTGGAGGAGATTAATAAGGTGCTGACGGAAGAGATTCTTCCGCGGTTGGAAGGTTTGCGGCGGGAGCGCGCGCAGTACCAGGCGTGGCTGCAGGGAAACTCGGATATCGACCGGCTGAGCCGGTTCTGCGTGGCGTATGAGTATTTCCTCGCGGAGAAGGCGAAGAATTCCGCGGTGGAAATAGTGGAGAAGATTAAAGAGAGTATAGCGGAGCTGGGGAGGGTGGAGGAGGAGTGTCACGAGGCGATAGTAACGAAGAAAGGGCTTATAAAGGAGATGCTATTAGAGAAGGACCGGCAGATGGGGGACGCGATGAAGGAGGTGCAGGAGCGCGCAGATAAGATCGCCAAGGAGCTCGTTAAAGTCACATCCGTTTGGAACAACAAGAGTGAAACGCTGGAAGCGGAGAAGAAGGCGCTCGAGCAGGTCAGACGCGACGCTTTTCCCACTTGATCGTGCGTGTTTTCCCGGTTAGAGTAGTTTCCGACTTATTTTTGAAGCCGCCTCATTCATTGTTTCCTGTTTATGTGCGCGCCGTTTGGAGCGATCGACAGCGATCGAGCCGTTTGGAGGTTCGGTGCGAAGCTATTCGGATGTTATCACCGCCTTAGATACGTAATTCTTGCTTTCCTTTCTTCTTTTCAAATCTTTCCTCGCAGCTCGTCAAGATGCTGGCGGACACGCGGAAAGGCTCGGAGGAACGAGCGGTCCAGATGCAATCCGCCGACGACGCGCTCGCAGCCGTCCAATCAGAAGCCGACACGAAGGCAAAGGCGCTGAGCGATGCGGAGGAGGAATACGCGGCGGTGCAGGCGGGCAAGACGGGGCACCCGGGGGAAGACAAGACGATGGCGCAGAAGCTGTCGGAGCTGAAAGCGGCGGCGGTGGAAGCGGCGACGGGCGGAAAACAGGCGGCTCTGCGCGTGACGCACCTGCGGAAGGAGGTGGCGGAGAAGGGGCGGCTGGTGGCGGGTAAGCGCAAGGCGGCGAGCGGGCTGGAGCAGCGGCTGGCGGGCATGGCTGAGGAGGTTGAGCGGTGCGAGGCGGGGCTGCAGCGGCTGGGGCACGACGAGCAGCACTACTCGGATCTTGAGAAGGTGAGCGCGAATGGTGTCCATGCAATGAATTGGTCTCAACCACACCAGACTGTCCACTAAATTGCGGTTATTCAAATCATGCTGGGGAGTGAACTGAACCCCATTAAGCCCGTCCGTTCCCCCCTGTTTTACCCAGTATTTACAGTCCAAGCGGAAGAGTTGGTTGCTTTCAGTAAGGTTACGCTCACCCCTTGACGTCGACTTAAATTTTCCCTGATGCGATTTTATTACGCCCCACCTCCACCAGTCCAAGGCCGAGAAGGAGGCGGCGGTGGGAGAGGTGCGGCAGCGGGTGGAGGGAGCGTCGCGCGAGCTGGGCGTGGGGTTTTCGTACAGCGACCCCGAGAGGGGCTTCGACCGCCGCAAGGTCAAGGGCGTGCTGGCGCGCCTCTTCCGCATGCGCGACGCCTCCATGGCCACGGCGCTCGAGGTGAGCTGCTGGGGTGGTGGGATGGTGATGTGTGGGGCGCAAGGTAAGTGGGGCCAACACTGTGGAGGGCTTGGGCTTCGGCCGGCGCTCCTCCTCCACGTGGTAGTGCTCGTGACGCGTGCTCGCTCTCTGTAACTGAATGGTTGAGTTTTCTTGTAAAAACGCTTGATCTTAAGTTGGTTCCAAATGTACCTGTTTCCCTTCACATGTGCGTCACCCTCACAGGTGGTGGCAGGCGGCAGGCTGCACAACGTGGTGGTGGACTCGGAGCAGACGGGCAAGCAGCTGTTGAGCCATGGCCGCCTGCAGCGCCGAGTCACGCTCATCCCGCTCAACAAGATCGACAGCCGCTGCATCTCACAGGCCAAGCTCAACCGCGCCGTCCAACTGGTGAGCTGCTAACCTGATTACCCTGGTGTGTGGGAGCTGCCTCACTAGCTCACTTAAGTAGCATGCTTCCCACTTTCTTGATGGATCTGCTTACTGGCTTGCGCATGGTGAATGGAATTGTGTACGTCTTTTTCAGTCAGTGTAAGTCTCCCTTGTTGCTGTTGCGGAGATGTTGTGGACTCACCAGAAACAACCGCCCCCCACCACTCTTTCACCCTTGCCTCCCACCTTTTACAGGTTGGCAAGGAGAACGTGTGGACTGCTCTCTCTGCGGTCGACTTTGATCCTGAGCTCCAGGTACGAATCCGGAATTGCACGAGCTTCGTTTCAGCAATCCGGGATTCACATCCTTGTTCGATCGTCCTTGTCGGATGACCTCCGCCTGTGAAACCCGCTGCCGTGGTGCTCGCACTAGGGACTGACGGTTGGTTGGTTTCCCTGCTCTTGTGCCCCCCTGGCTTGTCCTCCAGCCTGCCATGGCCTTCGCGTTTGGCAACACCTTCATCTGCCGCGATTCCGCCACGGCCAAGAAGGTGTGCCGTCCCCTCTTTCCCTTGCAAAAGCCAAAACGCCGTGCGGTCCCCACCTTCCAGCGTTATGTCGCTCCTGGTCCTACCCTTTCACCATGTTCTCAATCCCGTGGTGCCGCTTGTTTCGCTTACCTGCTTTTCATCTCTCTCTCCCTCACGTTCTCCAACCTTCCTCCTCCGCACCGCACGTTCCGCCTCCTGCGCATCCCCGTGCCCACCACCCCATCACGACGTGGCAGGTGGCGTTCCACCCGGACATCATGACGCCTTGTGTGACTCTGGACGGCGACAGCTACAACCCGGGCGGGCTGCTCACTGGCGGGTCACGCAGGTGAGGGGGAAGAGTGGGGCAAGGAGGGTGGGGCAAAAAGGGTGAGGCTTGGAGGCGAGGGCGAAGGAGAGTGGGCTGCGAGGGAGGGCAAAAAGGGTGGGGAAGAACAAAATACAGGGTCACGGAGGTGAGTGCGAAGGGGTGGCGGGGTGGGAAGAACAAGAGACGGCCGTGAGAGTGGGCTGCGTACTGGAGGGCCAAGGAGGCAGAGCGGTGAGAGTGAGAGACGGGGTGGTGAGAGGAAGAGCTAGGGTGAAAACAAAGGAAAGGCAATCCCGTGAGGAGACAATGCTATTTCTCCGACTAATGCCTTGTGGAATCCGCCCCTCACTGCACCACTCGCCTGCTGCCTTCTTTTCCACAGGGGGGGAGGTGTGCTACTCTCACGGCTGCACGCGGTGAAGGAGGACGAGGAGCAGCTGGCCGCGTTGGAGGCACAGCTGCAGCACGTGCTGGCAGAGGTGCGTCGCTTGAGTTAAGTCTTTTGAGTGCATGCGCGGCGGCAATTTTTTTGTGCGCATGCATGGGTGTGCTATGAAGGGAGGAGATACGTATCTGGAGGAAAGATTAGATCATTGAGTCAACACAAATGAACTGTCTTGAGGCTTTGAAGCTCGCTTCTCGCCCTTCCACGCCTGTCCCTGTGCCGTGTCCCTCCCGAGTCCATTCGTGTACCATGCTGCACGGCGTTGACCTCCCACTCCCTGTGTCTCCCCTAACGGTTCGTCCCTACCCAGATGCCAAGCGCGCATTCCATAAAGCTCCGAGACGGTAAACATTGATTTACAAAAGTAAATCCTAGCTGTTACCCGTTTGCCCTCTGTTGTCTCCGTGCTGTTTCTCCCCCACCAGCTGAGCGCCCTGCAGCAGCAGCGGCAGCAGTACGTCGAGCTGACGCAGCAGCTGCAGCTGAAGACGCACCAGCTGTCCCTGGCGCAGGAGCAGATGAAGCAGAGCGAGCACCACCAGGTGAGAGGAGTGGAGAGAGAGGGGATGGTGGGAAAGGGTAGTAGCAGGTGAGAGTAGGCAGCAGTCCCTGTAGCTGAAGGCGCACCAAATGCTGCTGTCCCTGGCGAAGGAGCAGATGAGGCAAGTGACCTCGACCAATTGAGAGGAGGATGAGGGGATGAGGATGGGGCAGGGAAAGCATCAGCAGGTGAGATAGAGTAGAACCAGAGCAAGCACCGCCAGGCAGAGTGGTGAGAGAGGAAGTCTGCCGCTAGCTCATACATTGATATCCGAGACCCGGTTTGAACTGTTCACGTGGCTGTACCTGATGGCATCCCCCCCTCCATGCGTGTCTCCTTGCACTGGCTGCGGCCTGCGCAGCTTGCAGAGGAGCTGGCAGCCCTCGAGGCTGAGCTGGCGGAGTGCGAAGCCACATCAGCGGAGGCAGCAGGGAAGGAGAAGGGGCTGTTGGACGAGGCAGCAGTGCTGGAGAGGGAGATGGAGCAGCAGGGGCGGGAGAGAGGGCAAAGGCTGAAGGCTCTAGAGGCCAAGGCGAAGGCAGCAAAGCAGCAGGCGGCTGCTGCGAGCAAGGCTCTCAAGGTAAGGGAACGTTCAGCTAGGCGTGTGTTGTGGAGTTGACTCAGAGAGCACTGGAGAGGGAGATGGAGGCGCATGGGCTCGAGAGAGGGCAAAGGCTGCTGCGAGCTAGGCCCTCAAGGTGTGTGAGCGTTCACTCACACGTACGAGTAAGTGCCTTTGAGAGCCGCAGGCGGCTGCTGCCAGCAAGACGATCAGTGTGACGCCTCCGTTGCTCAGCCTTGCTGCTGCCATCGCGCACTTCTGTTTCTCACCCTTCTGTGCCTGTTTTCTTGCAATGGCCTTTGCAGGCGAAACAAAACGAGCGGGAGCAACTGGCGATAGCAGTGGAGGCGTCGAGAGGCGAGGAGGCAGCAGCGCAGGAGCAGATCAGTGCAGCAGAGGCGGAGGTGGGCAGGCTGCAGCACGAGGTGGACGAAGCTGCGAGGAAGGTGGCGGACGTTAAGGAGGAGTTGGATGCGGTGCAGGGCGATGTGGAGAGGCGGCAGAACGAGCTGCGGGCGTGCGATGAGCGGATGGCGGGGGTAGAGAGGGAGGTGGGGGAGATGGAGGAGAGGAAGATGAACGCCGGCATGGAGAAGCGGAAACTGGAGCACCAGGTATGGCTTGGCAGGTATGGCTTGGCAAATATGGCTTCTCGGCAGGTATGGCTTCTCGGCAGGTATGGCTTGGCAGGTATGGCTTGGCAGGTTTGGCTTGGCAGGTATGGCTTGGCAGGTATGGCTTGGCAGGTATGACTTAGCAGGGATGCGACTGGCAGGGATTTATGCTTGATGATACAAGTGCTGGTCCAGGAGGCTCTCGCTGGTGAGGTATCTGCTGTTCGGCCACCTATGTGTGTGGTTTCGGACGTCTGTACACAGCTGTGGCAGCTGCAGCAAGGGTAGGCTCAGACGGGGGAAGCAAAAGCCGAGTGGGCAGAGGGCTTGTTGAGAAGTGGTGAGGTTGAGGATAGAGGGAACGCCGGTCACCAGTGAGAAGGCTGGGCGGCATTCTCTATGCAGAGTGGCGTCGTGGTGCTCAAGAAGCCATGAGGCCAAGTGGCGTGGCGTGCAACTCTCGGATGCTGATGTGTATGGCTTGACATTGAATCTGGTTTCCCCATTGACGAGCAGTTGGAGACGACCTTTGAGACGTCGTCAATAAAGCCAAACCGTATCGCCAATGTTGATCCACGCGCCTTGCTTGTGGCTTTGTTGTCCCCGTGGGGCGAGCAGGTGAAGACGCGGGAGGCGGAGCAGCAGAGGGGCGTGAAGGACGTGGAGCGCATGGAGAGGCAGCACGAGTGGATCGCCACGGAGCGCGCGCTGTTTGGGCGCGCTGGCACGGACTATGACTTCCACTCGCGCGACCCCGTGGCTGCCCGCCAGCTGCTGGCGGAGAAGCAGTCCCAACAGAGCAGGTGCGTGGTGGGAGGGGTGTGAGAGGGGCGTACGGGGGAACTAGAGGTCTGTGAGGTGGGTGAGGAGTGTGTGGGCCAGGTGAGAGGCGGGCTGGCATTTGAGGTTTGGACTAAGACTTGTAGAATTTTGTGTGGCAGGTATGTGCTCCCACCACCCTTCATGACCCCTCCCGACGTGTGTGTGTGCCGTGTGCAATATGCCCTTCTACCTTGTTCGTCTCGGTAAGGAAACCTGCATGATACAGAAGGTGTTCGCTACGTTTGACAAGACGGAGCAATATCAAGGCATTTCAGAAGCCTTTAAGGCTTGTGACACGCTTCCGTGTCCCTGTGTGCTGTGTGCTCTCTGCCTGTCCCTCCTGTTCCTTGCACGTGCGCCTGCAGTGTGGAGAAGCGCATCAACAAGAAGGTGATTGCCATGTTTGACAAGACGGAGCAGGAGTACAAGGATCTGAACGCCAAGAAGGACATCGTGCTGGTGAGTGGTGTGGTTTTATACCTCACTCCTGCTGCTGCTGCTGCTTCTACTGCTGCAAGGAGGTGCGTAGTCTGTGGTTTGAGGCACGGGGAAGTGGGGGAGGGCCAGGGTGGAAGGGACCTGCAGACGGGTGGAGAGAGTGGTTGTTTTCGCAAGTGGCGTGCATGTGGCTTTCTAGCAACCTAGTCACGCCGACCAGCCTGAAGACTTCCCTCATTTTTGGCAACAGTTTAGAATTTCGTATTCCATGTTCCCCTTTCTCCTATTTTTTAAGTAATGTTTAGATCAAGAGTCTATGTTCAGTCGTGTTCTCTCTGTGTGCCCCTGTATCTCTGCACCCTCCGCGTGTGTGTGTGTGTGTGTGTGTGTGTGTGTGTGTGTGTGTGTGTGTGTGTGTGTGTGTGTGTGCAGAGAGACAAAGCGAAGATAGAGGAAGCGATAGAGCAGCTGGATGAGAAGAAGAAGCAGCAGCTGAAAGTCACGTGGGAAAAAGTCACCAAGTAAGTGTTCCCGACTGCCATCCCAACGTAATTCTCTCCTCAACTTCCACTTCCCATCCGCCCACCATCCACCCCCTCATGGCACTGTTGCCTCATGTCCGTGCTCCACCCCTCCCAGCTCTCCTTTCATCCAAGCCTTCGTTTCCCCAGGACCTGGGATGCACATTCCCCACACTCCTTGCAGGCGCCACCACAGTTCAGCTGAAACAACCAGAGGGCCAGGAGTGAATGCCTACCCTCCAGTACACTCCAGCTCCTGCCATGACTGATCCTCTCCACCTCTCCCCCACCTCCCACACCCCCATCAGGGGCTTCGGTTCCTCAATGCTCACTTCCATGTTCTCCACAATCCTCCCCGGCACAGCAGCCAAGCTGGACCCCCACGAGGGGCAGGAATTTCCAACCACCTCCAATCCAATCCCGTGTGCAGCGCCTCCTCAACCCCCACTCCGCCCTCCCCCTCCCCCTCACAGGGATTTCGGCTCCATCTTCTCCACGCTGCTGCCCGGCACCATGGCCAAGCTGGACCCCCCAGAGGGGCAGGACTTCCTGGCGGGGTTGGAGGTGAAGGTGGCGTTCGGCGGCGTGTGGAAGCACTCCCTCTCCGAGCTCTCTGGCGGCCAGCGCTCCCTGCTCGCCCTCTCCCTCATCCTCGCCCTCCTGCTCTTCAAGCCTGCGCCACTCTACATTCTGGACGAGGTGAGAGTGACGCCTCTGCACAGCATGGGGTGAGGTGAGAGTGTGTGAAATGTGTGTGGAGCGCCAGAGCTTGACCCCACCTCCAGTTATTACCACAGTGTTTACTCCATGCCTCTTGTGACTTCCTGATCTCACTCAACTGGCTACCGTCAACATGTGTTGCTCTGTTGCTCTCCTGTGCAGGTGGATGCAGCGTTGGATCTCAACCACACACAGAACATCGGCCACATGATCAAACAGCACTTCCCGCACTCCCAGGTACATATGCGCCTAGAAATGTCGGAATCCTGGTTTCATGTCTTATTTTGCATGTCGCATTTCCGGCTCTCGATAAATGAACACAGCAGTTCAGTCCCATAGACTCACAGTCATAGAATCACATCCGTAGAGTCACATAATCCGTTTTGCCTCTCTGCCCCCACCACCTACCTCCACACTCATTTCCCCTTTCTCCCTTCCCTCCAGTTCATAGTGGTTTCACTAAAGGAGGGCATGTTCAACAATGCAAATGTCATTTTCCGCACCAAGTTCATCGACGGCGTGTCAACTGTCACCCGCACCGTGCCGTCCCTCCCCTCCTCCGCCGCTGCCGGGCTCAGCAGAGCTGCTCCCGGTGCTGCCAATGGCGGCAGGTCGAGGGGTGCTTCTGCCAGTGTGGCACGGGGGAAGAACGCTGCAGGGTCGATGAGGTGAGCTGAGTGTGTGGGCTTGGGTAGGCTTGAGTGGGTGGGCTTGAGCATACATGCTGGGTCCAACCCGACCCCACCCAATTTTCTTCTGCTGGTTTCAGCCGAGCTGCTCCCAGCACTGCCCATGGGGGTGGGGGGGGGGGGGGGGGGGGGTAAACCCATGCTGTTGTCCGTGCATGTTCTCGGAGGGCATATTGTGAAGGCAGTTGTTAAGGTCTTACAACATCTGTGTTTGCACTCCCTCCCCGTGCATGCCTGTGTGGCTGTGCGCATGGAATGTGTGGCTGATGTAGATCAAGGCAAGAGGATGCTGAGAACATTGAGCCAAGTGAAGTCCTCTAGAGTCTTGTGTTTCTGCCGTAACATGCAGGTGATTGCAAAGCAGTGTATCAGTATTTGTATATTGTTGGGTACATTATTTTAGTGATTGAAGTACAGTAGTGCACCAGTAGCCGTCTCGGCTCCGTTCTTAAACATATTGAGGTGTTAGTAAATTTAGGTTCAAGTCAGAATGATACTGTACTGTACATGTCTCGAATCTTGTAGCCAGTGCAGATCAACCAAATACGACTTGATGGTGAGGAAGTACAAGGCAGAACCCCACTTTGGGTACCTGGACTGGACGCATCATGGATATGGTATGTTTAGTACCGGTAGTAGAATACAGTAAGCGGTCGAAACACTTCAGAGCGGCACTTGCTGGACATCTGGTTGACAAGCTTTTACCCGCCTTTGGAACTACCGTACTTCCATGGCAACAGCTAAGCCAAACCCTAAACCATATTTGGCGCGGTCAGTCAGAATCGCCACAATCTGCACGACTCGTTGCAGGGAATTTGATGCGCGCTGCGCTTGCGATCGCAGGAAAAAACCATCGTGCCACTATGGCGCCTGCTTGGGAGGCAAACGGGCTGCTGTCGTGCCGGCCAAAGCTAGAAGCCAGCACAGCACACAAGCTATACCCCCCCCCCCCCCCCCCCCCCCCCCCCCCCCTTCCCCCCCCCCCGGCGTAGAGGCCCCCGGGTACTCTCTCGGGACTACGGGTCTTTCATTTGAGCTATTTCCGTGAGGACCCCCCTTTTTCATTTGTGGATTTATGTAAGGAAAATTCCTTTTCCTTACTTCGCATCCCTGCTCAACGCGTACATAACTGTAGCACCACAGTCAGCACCGTTACCACTCGCAACCCTCGCATCGACAATCCGCCCGCCACCTTCGCACATCGCACCCCGACCTCACGGCTCGGCGGGTAACCCGCGCTCCGGGCCTCCGCTTCGACACTTTTTCCCAACCTCAGTCCCAGGCCCGTCGCGCGACAACCACAGTCCATTACCGTTGCCACTGTAGTTTCGCTATATTCTTCGCTCATGCCTTCGCTCATTGAACTCTTGCTTCGATAGTGCAATTCTCGTTCGTTCACTCAATTGCACTCGTAACACTTGGTATTCAGAGCCTACGATCTCCTCTCGGACCGCACCCACACCTTCGCTTCCCCACTATCTCAATTTTTGGGGGGGGTAGACGTCTCTCAGCGACACAGCACCGCCGCTCGTAGTGCTCTCTCGTAAGCACGCACGACCACGACCGAGGCTCTCGCCGAGCTCGCCCGACACCCCTCTATGGCCGAATTCACGCTCGCCACATTGACGCAGGAGCAGCTCGACCGTCTGGTGCGCCAACTCGAAGATTCAGCGCTCGAAATTGCGACGCTCACGGCGGAACGTGACTCCGCGCGTCAGCAATCAACGATGAACACTCTAGCGCCACCACCCGCATCGACAAATGCATCTGCACAATCAGACGAGCCGATCGTCATCTCGTCCGGCACACCAACACAAAACAACAGTGTGGGACAGCGCTCAGGCGCAGCCAGCGATGGCGGCGCCCAGCCGATGCCTGGCATGGGAGGAAACAGGGTCGCACCAAGCCCGCGGGAGCCTCGCGAAGCCCGTCGGCACGTGGAGTTCGCGGCGACAAGTGGCGAACAGGCCATTATGGCACCAATTGTGAAACAAGTGAACAGGAATGTGTGGACTATGAATGAAGGCAGTACAAATATGAAACCCTAACTGGGTTGTACCCCCTATGGGATACCCCACTACAGCCTACACAATAGTATAAGCTATAGATATGTTCTGACACACCCCCATAGGCAAAGTGGGGGAGAACAAGGGGTCACAAGACCAGTCAAGCAAAGCAAAGCAAAGCAAGCTCGGGGTGGATCACAAAGTCACCACACAGTCCGAGCACAAGAGCAGGTATATATATATGTCACAGTACAAGTGAAGTCAAGAGGAGAGCAAGTGAGGCAAGACAGGTACAAGACCCAGCTGGGTGCAAAAGCGCTGATGGTCACAAGGCGCGAGTGCCTTGGTGAACACATCAGCAGTGTTGGCCTAAGAGGCCACGTACGCAAGTCGCAACTGACCACGCTGCTGCAGCTCACGAGCAAGGAAGTAGCGGAGAGCAATGTGCTTCGTTCTGTGCTCCAAGCGCTGCTCTCGACACAAGGCCAGCATGGCCTTGTTGTCTACGTACAGCACTGGAGGAGAACGAGGCGGCTCTCCAAGGTCAGTCAGCAGGTAGGTGAGCCAGCGAAGCTCCTGTGCAGCCATGGCCCCGGCGTAGATCTCAGCCTCACAACTAGAGCCGAGAACCGAAGACGAGCGAGTAGACCGCCACGAGACAGAGCCGGAACCAAGGCTGAAGGTGTAACCCTGTGACGACCGCTGCGTAGCCTGGTCGTCAGCCCAAGAAGCGTCCGCGTGGCCGGTAAGGACCACTGGACTCCGCCCTCCAAGCACTAGCCCCATGCCCGACGTACTGCACAGGTAGCGCAATACCCTCTTCGCTGCAGCCATGTGCTCCGGTCTGTGTCTCCCAGGAGCAACATAGCGTGCAAGAATGCTCAGAGGGTATGCAAGGTCAGGTCGTGTGCAGGTCATCAGGTACATGAGGCAGCCAACAAGCTCTGCATACGGACCACTCGACTCTACGGACTCATCCGAAGGCAGAGCTGAGAGTGAGTGGCGAGTAGGCAGAGGAGTGGCCTGAGGCGAGGAGTACGTGAAGCCGAAGCGCTGAAGGACCTGCTGCACCATGTGTGACTGAGTCAAGGTAATGGTGCGGCGTGCTCTGTCCCGAGTGATCTGCAAGCCAAGGTAGCTGCGCAGTTCACCCAGGTCTGTGCACGTGTGTCTCTTCAGCAGCTCGGACTTCACGTAGGCGAGTCCAGCAGTGTCCGCTGTGGCAAAGACCAAGTCGTCGACGTACACGAGGATGTAGAACGGCGGCAGGGAAGTGTCGGTGCGAAGAAACAGCGACGGGTCAGCAGTAGAAGGAGCAAACCCAAGAGCCGCAAGCGTAGTCCTCAGTGTGTCGTGCCACTCACGCGGTGCCTGGCGGAGACCGTAGACTGGCCGTCGGAGGCTCCACTGGGTGCCAGGAGGGAAAGTCCCAGTGAAGCCAGGTGGACGGCGAAGCCAGATCTCCTCGTGCAGGCTACCCTGCAAGAACGCAGTGCTGAAGTCGAGAGAGTGAAGCTCGTAGTCGCGCTGAGCGGCTATGTGCAGCAGCACCCGAAGAGTAGTCATCTTCGGGGTGGGAGAGAAGGTCTGAAAGTAGTCAACTCCCTGCCGCTGACTGAAGCCACGAGCAATGTACCGTGCCTTGAAGACAGGTGGAGAGCCCGGCGGCCGCTTCACCCTGAAGATCCACATGCCACTGACGATGTTCGCCCCAGGAGGGGGAACCGCGTCAACGTAGGTGCCTGTGGACTTCCAGGAAGCCATCTCTGCATCCATAGCTGCCTGCCACTGAGAGGAGTAGGGACCCTCTACGGCCTCCGCGTAAGAACGCGGAGTCGGGATGTCTAGTGCATCCGGGTCTCCCTCAGGGGCATGCAGTACAGACGCGAGATGAGGTGAAGCAGCCGCTAGACACTGTAACTCCTCCTGCCTGTCCTCTAGGACGTCCGTGCCAAGAGCACACTCACCCCCGACGGACGGAGGACAGACAGACGCAGACTCAGCAACAAGACTAGCAGCGTAGTCGAGACGACATCGAGCAGCAAAGTCGACGAGCTCAGCGACTAGAGCAGACGCAGCAGTGGACTCAAAAGAGGGGTCAGTGACGACAGTAGCAAGCAGACGCGTGACAGTAGGACTGGCAGCACGAAGAGAGTCCGACTCAGGGTCGGCAAGCGCAGGAAGAGAGGACTCAGGAGGAGAAGGCAAAGGGGCACGCAGAGGAGCAGTGGACGGACGCAAAGACATCCGGTGCGTGCCAGGGACAGGAGGAGGACGCTGACGCGAACTGCGACCACTAGCGCGAGCAGCACGAACAGGCGACGCGGGACGAGACGCAGGCTCACGACGCTCAGCAAGACCTCCAGTAGGACCAGTGTAAGGAGAGGGAGCAGGCAGTGGAGAGGAAGGCTCCAGCAGGGACTGCGACTGGACAGGCGGTGGACCCTCTACTAGAGGAGAAAGACCAAGAACCTGCTGCAGGAGCGGAACGAAGTACGGCCGAGGCCGCGCGGCAGCTCCAGACTCAGTAGGGACAGCACCACCACCCTCAGCGACAGCACCAGCGCCACCCACACCTCCAGCGGCAGGACCAACAGCAGTAGGCTCAGCACCAACGCCCTCAGCAGCTCCAGCTCCAGGAGGACCCGCAGGTCCAGCAGCTCCGGGACCGGCAGCACCCGCACCCTCGACGGTCGAAGAAGCTCCAGCTCTAGCTCCAGCAGCACCTCCAGACGCAGCAGCACGCCTCCAGCGGCGAGCGAACCACTCGCGCAGCTCCTGTGGAGAGAGGGGCTCCCGGCGAGACGCAGCAGCAGGAGAAACCCCAGGCTCAGCAGCTCCAGACGCAGCACCCCCAGGCTCAGCAGCTCCCAGCACAGCACCCCCAGCCTCAGCAGCTCCCGACCCAGCACCCCCAGACCCAGCACCTCCAGGCACAGCACCCCCCGGCTCAGCACCCCCAGGCTCCGCACCCTCCGCAGTAGCACCCTCAGGCCCAGCACCCCCAGCAGTAGCACCCCCAGGCTCAGCACCCCCGCGCACAGCACCCCCAGAGTCAGCACCCCCAGGCTCAGCACCCGCAGCAGCACCAGAGTCACCAGTAACCTCGACCGGGTCAACGGCGTCTACCTGAGACACACCTGAGGGGGCAGGAACCTGAGGGGGGAGGGGGTCTACCGGGGGGGGAACCGGCACAAGGAAGTCCGGGGGAGGGGGGAGGGAAGGAGTGCGGTAGGGGAAGAGACGGTAGAAGGGGACTGACTCGTCGAACGTGACGTCCTGGGAGGACAGAACACGACGAGAGGAGGGGTGGTAAAACTGCCACCCTGGGGCGGCAGTGGGGAAGCCAAGGAAGACACAGGGAGCAGCACGAGGGGACAGCTTTTCTGCAGACAAGTCGCGGACAAACGCCCGAGATCCCCAGACACGGAACACAGACGCATCGCCAACCTTCCCCGTCCACAGCAAGGCTGGGGACATCGCAGGCCGAGAGACCCGGGGGTGAAGGTTGAGCTGATGCGCCGCGTACCTCACCGCAAACGGCCACAGAAAATGGGGGGCAGCCGCATGCATCATGGACGTACGAGCGACATCCATGACCATGCCAATGCGGCGCTCAGCAATCCCATTTTGCTGTGGTGAGTCCGGTAGCGTGAAGGTCTGGCGGATCCCCCGTGCACGACAGTAGTCCCGCAGAAGGCGAGAAGAGAACTCTCCGCCTCTGTCCGAGTGCAGACGCAGAACAGGAAAGTCCGAGCCGAAGCTCTTCCTGAGCTGGAGACGAGCCTCGCGGATCCAGTCGATCAGCACCTCAGTGACCGCACCCTTGCTGCGCAAGGGGAGGACTGTGGTGTAACGCGAGTAGTCGTCAACCACCAACAGGAAGTAGCGCTCGTAACCCTGCCCACGGACGGGGGCTGGGCCCCACACATCCATGTGAAGCGTCTGCAGGGGAGCCTCTGTCGGGGGGAAGTGGGAGGAGTGAGGAGTAGCCCGGAGGCGACCCTCGACACAGGGGACACAGGAAGG